AGGGTTACTTCCTTCCCTGACAACACCTATCCTTTACTAATTCACTAAGTGTACAAGATATTTAGTAAAACTTTCCTCACTACTTACGGCACAGAGTTAAATTTTCTAAGCCTGCTCCTTTGAGTAGACTTGAGATTCTTGAGGACAATGTTCTTACTTTCTTTATCTTTGTGCCCAAGGTAGACCTGGCCCACAAAAGAGAGTGGGGGTCGGCGGGGGGTGGGGATGTGGTGCAAGGAAAGAGAGATCTTCATCTTAATCTGGGTGGGACGGGGCAACAGGAGGACATAGAGCAGCCTCTCTTCTTCCTCCCTCTCTTCTGTAGGCCTAGTTGTTGATTGACCTGCTTTTAGCAGTAGTCCTACATTCAGGCAGCAATGTGGATTGATGCTGCCCGCACACTTCATGTGCCATCCAGAGGCAGGCGTACTCATCCAATGAGGGCTCCTTCCAGAGAGAGGAGATTGAGGAGCAAGCCCATGGTTGAAACACTGAGTCTGAGCAGATGAGATGGAGGTATGTCCCAAAACTGATAAACCGCTAGCTGGTCTGATAAAGAAAAAAGACACAAATTATCAATGTCAGTGAACATCACTACAGATCGTACAGACATTGAAAGGATATTAAGAGAACAATATAAGTCACTTTGTGCCAGTAAATTCAGTAACTTAGGTGAAACATATATCTTGGAAGACATAAATTAACTACACTGACTGGAGAAGAAGTACAAAATCTGTGTACTTCTATAGCCAAAATCTTTTCCCAAAGAAAGCTTCAGGCCAGGATTGCTTCACTGAAGTCTTGTTGAATATTTAAGGAAGAAATAATACCAGTTCTACACAGCTCTAATTTTATTTGTAACAGTTTTGTCCCTAATAAAAAGGATTTCAAACATTAGGAAACAGGTCAGTCAAACTCTGTCCCGAGCAGGGCTATATTTGAGAACCCCTGAAATCCTGCCTCAAAGGCTTCTTCCTCCTGAAGGTTCTGGGGGGAAGTGAGGGCAGGGGTGTAAGACGTGGAGATGTGGGCAGGGGTCAAAAATGTGGGAGTGCCTCCATTAATAGGCAAGTAGGCTATGGGGAGGACCCCAGCCCAGGCCATGACTCTACTGCCCTGCAGCCACCAGCGTTCCTGAGTTTGACTCTTCTGGAGTTGGTGGAGAGGGTAGCAGTTAAACTGGTAGAGTTTCTGAAGGTTGTCTAGCCCAGGCTCTGGGCTAGGCCTTGAGATGCTCTAGGAGATGTCCCCTGCTGAGAGGTTCTTGAAGGGGTAGTGAAGCCTACATGTGAATAAGAGTGGACACAGGCCTGTGCCCTGGGCCTGCAGTTAGACCCTGATATGCACTGGGGAGGCCCAGAGGATTCCTTTGCCTGGGAGTCTTAGAAGGCTGCCTGAGGAGGTGGCCTTTGAGCTGGCCAGATGGTGTGTTTTCTTGGGGGCTATCAGAGTAGATATTTCAGGATTTGAGAAAAATGTGGGGTGTAAGAGTGTTCGGGACAGAGCCCAGTGTGAAAGGAGCATGGGATGGTGATGAGGCATTGGGAGATGACCTCCTGGTGAGGCAGGTGTGAGGTTTAGGTGAATGCTGTTGTCCTGGGGGTGTGGAAAGCTTTGAGCAGAAGTGCAGTGTGGTCTGACCAGTGTCTTCGAAGAGGAGGCCGGGAATGTGGATTGATAAGATGGAGAGAGACTTAGGGGAGATATATTGGAAAAAGAGAGGGAAAATGCAGGAGGCAGCTGCATTCTCAAGAGTAGAGGGGAAGCCTGGCTGGCAGGCAAGAGTGGAGAGGAGTGGCTGGGGGCTTGGTTGTGGTGGGGCCCTAAGGAGGTGGTAGAGGAGACTAGGGGTTGGGAAGGAGGGAGAAGATGGTGAGATTTGGGAAGGGTGGGGAGTGGGGAGTGGGAGTGGCGAGGCATTGAGTCTGATTTGAGGGTCTCAGGGTGAGCGAAGTCTAGATTCCTGGGGAGGCTGTGCACCTGGGACCCTGCCTGCTTTCCTACTGAGTGTCCAGCAGGGCCTAGGCTTGGGCTTGGGCTAGCTGTGGCTGCATGTGAGCACACAGGGCCAGGTCTGAACTGTGTGGGGAGTACAGGAGAGGCGGGTGGAATCAGAGCTCTTTAGAAACTCAGTGCCACTCTTCCATTCTTGAGAGCCTCTCTCTCTCTCTCATCTCCTTGGTAAGAACGCAGGGCCGGGCATCAGGACGACCTGGATCCAGACTTGCAGCTACCACTGATAGATTCTGTGACTTTGGATAACTCTTTTCCTTTTCCCTGACTGCCATTTCCCAGGTTTTCCCATGGGTTAAATTGAGGACCTAGAATGGGTGATCCTGCGAGCCCTCCAGGGCTGAGGCTCTTTGAGTCTGTCAGGTAGTGGGGAGCTTCAAGACTGGTCTGCACTTCCCTCCACTATCCCAGGCAGCAAGGGGCCACACCTTGTGATTCAGGCCAGCATCACCAAAAGCGATTTTCCTTCCCACAAATGCCCATTGTCCTATCTGAGAATCACTCTTTGTGAGGAAGACTGGGGGTCCACCTCATCTCCCCCACTTATGTAGCCTGTGCATTTGTTTACCTGCTCCTGCCACAGATGTGGATCTTTATCTTTTCTGAGCCCCTGCTCTTTGCACCCAGGCTGGGGTCATTTTTAACCTCATGCTGTCTGCAGAGCTAGTGCTGTACCCCACCCACCAGATTGCTGGGCATTTTTTAAAAAAGTCATTTAGATTGTTTGGTGTTTTCTCATTTATTAATGAATAACTTGACTGTTACTGAGGCACTTGAATGTCTCTGGGACTCCAGGAGGGTGGTGGCAGCTGTTTGACCTTGCTTGAGAGCTGAGAAAGGGCATGGTATTTGCAAAGCACTCCTCCCAAAGGCTAGACACTTGCCTGTAGTTCCCACCTGCTTCTGCCAGGTGGTTCAGGTTAACGGAACCCCTGTGGAAAGGAGCCTTCCTGTGTGGCTGGGGGTCTTGCCCCCACCAGCCCACTGTGGGGAAAGCAGAGCCCTTTCTGCTTTTCCTTCTCTTCCCTTACCCAGAGGGCAGGTGTCTGCCACTCCTTCCCGTGAGGCAGGCACTCCAGGGAGTGGCTTTCAGGGTGTCCGCTGGTTGGGAGTCGGGAAGGAATTTTTTGCTAGAATGTGCTGGCTCTGGCTTGTTTTATCTGCTAGCCTTTAGTCAAGGAGGGCTGCATGTGTCAGCAGGGCCCCTGTGGAAGCCCCATCCAGGTTCCAGCAGCCCTGGGAGCCGTTTGGAGAATCCTCACTTGTTTCTGTGAAGCATTTGTACTCTGTTCTCCCTTCCCTCTTTGGCCATCACCAAGCGTCTTGCCCAGCAGAGGTCGGCGGACTCTTCCCCAGTGTCTCCTCTGTTTGTCCATTGCCTAAGAACACTGGCCAGAGCCCTCTGTGTTCAGCCCTTGCCTGCCTTGACTGTCTTACCTGGCGTCACCCCCTCCCCCAACCTCAGTCACCTGCAGGCTCTTCAGACCACACCCTGCCTTTGTTCAAACTCTGCCCTTCCCACTCCGATTCCCCTATCCTGTGTCACCCAATTCTGCCCAGCCCATCTCTCACCCATCCCCCGAGAACCATGCCCCATGTTGACCTCTCCCATGTAGCTGCTGTCACTTGGTCAGTTATTTTGTTCCTGCTGCCTCATTACCATGAGATGAGCTGCCCTGAATTGGGTCAGTGGGCACTTGATCTGTTCACATGACAAAAGCCTTTCTCTGGGCCAGGCCTCCAACCTGGTTTTGGTAGCCTGCTCCCCAGAGGTTGTGTGGCCAAGGAATGGCGGGGTCTGGTCGATGCTTGCAGTCTCCTCATAAAGCAGATGCCACTCTTAGTAACGAAGTTGTCAATGGCATGAATAAACGTCTAGGAAAGGTAGTTTGAGCAGCTGTTTTACTTAGAATTTCTGTGCAAGCTCCAGCTCATTGTGTGTCCATCAGAGCAGACTCCCTGTAGAAGGAGCTCACAAATCTCTCTCAGAATAGTGCTCTGTGAAAGTTGAAGGCAGGGCGCTGCCATAGTGAAGTGAGCATTGTCACTTTCTGGAGGGCCGACGCTGGCATGCAGTGAGACCCCACGACAGCTCTGTCTTGGGGCCTCTCAGTCCATGCCCTGGGCCTAAGGCGTGGTCGCATGAATTGAGCATACACACACACGCCCTGTGTCAGTGTGACCACGGCAGGCTGACCTGACAGTGGCAATCACATGATAAGGGAGGACTCCAGGAAGACGTTTTCTGCTGCAGGTAAAAGCAGTATGGTAATTTCCTTCTATTGTGGCCCTCAGGGCACCTGAGGACAAGGATGACAGCTCAAGGTTGAAATGAACATGATTCTCTGGACTTAAGAGATACAGATAGTAGGAAGTTAAAAGAACCAGATTAAGAAAATTTTCATGGAAACTTCACACTAATTCCCCTTGCCTCTGTCTCCCTGAATGTAGCACAGGCCTGGGCAGTGAGTCTTGTTATAAGCCTGGTCCTAGTTCATGTTACTTCTAAAGCAAACCAAACAGGTATTTCTGGAGAGGCCTCTGGCCTGAAAAGTGTCTCAGGAGGCTGAGCTCTCATCCTGCCCTGGCTGCTGGTGCTTCTTTTCCCTGTCTTTCCAAGTTTAGCAAGTGGTTCCATCCAGACCCATGATGGTGACTGGTGGCCTGCCAGCATGGCCCCTCCACGGCACCAAGTGGCTGCATTTCTCACCACCTAAAGCCATCCAGCTCTTTCTGCTAGTGTCCTCTAAGGGCCACCATGTACCTGGGACTGGGCTGAAGTCATGGATTTTTAAATTCTTCACAGGCAGTGAGGCTCCAGTTGTGCTGTGAGATGCAGCAGGCATGTACCCTGCTTGGAGTCTGGGACACCAAGCTGGGCCATGCCAGGTGCCTGGCTTCTGAGATGTCCTGTTTATTAGCTCCCTAGGCTGTGTGGACTGGAAGTAGGTGCTTTCAGCTGAGCTGGTGGTTTTCTCCCTTTGCAGGACAAGGAAGATGGGGAGCCAAAGACCAAGCAACTTAGAGAAGAGGAGGAAGAAGGCGAGAAGCACAGGTAATGCCGTGTGCAGCTCCAGGCTCTACCCTCCACTCCAGCACTCATCAGTCTCCCAGTCCCTGGGTCCTCTCAACTCTGTTCAGTCTCTGCCCTGTTCCCTCCCCTCTTCTCCCTGCCTATGGCTGCCTTGTTCAGACCTTAAAATCTCAACTCTCTTGCCGGGTGCGGTGGCTCAAGCCTGTAATCCCAGCACTTTGGGAGGCCGAGGCAGGTGGATCACGAGATCAAGAGATCGAGACCATCCTGGTCAACACGGTGAAACCCCGTCTCTACTAAAACTACAAAAAATTAGCTGGGCATGGTGGCGCATGCCTGTGGTCCCAGCTACTCAGGGGGCTGAGGCAGGAAAATTGCCTGAACCCAGGAGGCGGAGGTTGCGGTGAGCCGAGATCGCGCCATTGCACTCCGGTCTGGGTAACAAGAGCGAAACTCCGTTCCCCCCAAAAAAAAAAAATCTCAACTCTCTCCTTCTGAGGCCTTCTCTCCCTCCTTTCCCTCATTTTCCATCTGGCTGTTACAGCCCCCAGCATTTTCTTTTTAGTCCTTACATTATGCCTTTTTACCATTCTCACACACCTTTCATGACGTGGTTCTCCATTGCTTGCTAAGTTTGTGCCCCTTCTGTACCTGGCTTGTGAAGCTCTGCGTGGCCCCTCTGGCCTCATCCATCCTCTTCTAGCTTCCCTCTAGCCAGAGCCCTCTGTGGTCAGCCCTTGCCAACCCTGGCCATTCTCTACACTGAGAGGCTGGTGGTGCTAAACGGTGAGTGGGTCTGCTGGTGCTGGGCCTGGGGCTTTTTGCTGGGCCTTAGTCCTCTTCTCTTGAAGGTCCCTGGCTAGTGATGGGAAGAGGAAGGCCAGTTAGTTCCTCCTTTGCCATGTGACCCCAACATGTGTGGCTTTATGGGTGGCTGCTGGCACAGTTTCTCCCAATCTGTGGTAACTATGTATTAGAGGCCCTTTGGTCTTCTGGTTTGTTCTTAGGTTCCTAAAGTCTAGAACTCTGGTTGGAGCCTGAGTTCCAGTTTCTAGGCTTTGATGTGTTAGCGTTTTTTTCCTCTGATCTCCCTCCTCCTCCTCCTCCCTGAGAAAGAGGGGTCACTGGTTAGCAGGTGGGTGGGTCATACAGCAGTAAGAGGCTTGAATGTTGAGCCATGTGGTTGTGAATCTCAAACGTGATGTTGAGTGATGGAAAAAGCAGGTTTCAGAATTGAGGCATGCAGGGCAGGAACACAAAATGATATATGTGTGTTACTCAGTCAAGAAGTACCGACTATTGGTTGTCTGCTCTGTGCAGGGCACCATTGTGGGCCCCTGGAAGGCAACAGCGGACAGAGGACAGCCCCTACCCTCATGGAACTGACATTTTCTGGAGGGAGACAGGCTGTTAACAAAGAAGCAGGTGTGCGATAAGGTGTCCGGTGCGCCCAAGAACGCGAAAGCAGAAGTGTAAATCCATACAGGAGGGGTGATGACTCCAATTCATGCCTGGGGAAGCAGGGAGGACACAGGATTAGGGAAAGGCTCCATGATGTGTGGTTTTTTTGTTTTTATTCTTTTTTCGAGATGGGGTCTCACTCTGTCACCAAGGCTGGAGTGCAGTGGCGCTATCTCAGCTCACTGCAACCTCCACCTCTCAGGCTCAAGCGATCTTCCCACCTCAGCCTCCCAAGAAGCTGGGACCACAGGTGCGTGCCACCATGCCCAGCTAACTTTTTGGTACCAAAACAACACAATTTGACCAGATTGCCCAGGCTAGTCTCGAACTTCTGAGCTCAGACAATCCACCCATCTCGGCTTCCCAAAGTGTTGGAATTCCAGGCGTAAGCCACTGCGCCTGGCCAATGATGTGTGATTTTGTTTTAACAAAAGAAAAAAGGAGGGGGACAAACCTGTCTTGAATATGGCAAAATGTTGCTTTTATTGACTCGTCAGGAGGTGAGTACATGTGTTACGTTATTCTCTGAACTTTTCTGTGTGCCCAAGATATATCATAATGCAAATAGCGTGGAAAAAAACAAAGGGCATGTGTAGTTCCAGGTTCCTGTCAGTGAATTCTAGATAAAAGAGACCCTGGCTCGTGAGGACCTGCTCCCTGCTAGGTCTTACAGGTCAGTTGTAGTGGAGCACAAGACCTGCTCATAGGCCTTGTCCTGAGCCCACTGAGCTGGGTAGGTGCTGGGCCCTGTTCTGTTTTCTCACCGCAGCCCAGGAACCAACCATGCTAGTCATTGAACTGGGTTCTGCTTCAGCTCATTATATTCTTCTGCTTTGCTCTCATCTGGCCTCTTCTGAGGCAACGGAGCGTGGTGGAATGGATTTGCCTCCCAATAGTTGGGAGCTTGGCTTGCGGGGCTGAACTTCTAGAGACTTTGGGCAGGTGGACTTCTAGCATCCCTTTCCTGGCAGGGCCTGCTACTTGGATCACTCCCTTGGTTGCCAGGAAACCTAGTCTTAGCAAGGACTTGTGCCTGTGTCTGTAGGCCCCAGAGAAAAACAGACTCTTCTGACTAACAGATGCAGAGCAAAGGGCTTGCTCAGGTTATTTAGGAAGGCAGATTAGAACACTGGTTGCCCTAACACAGGGCCAGACCCATGTGGACTCCACTTTAGACTGCAGGGTCCAGGGCTGGACATGATGGGCTTCCCAGGAAGAGCAGGATGCAGCAGAGGCTGTGTCCATCCAGGGAGGAGGATGTTGCCTTTTGTTTGTACCCCAGGTCTGGTAAGAGGCTCTCATGCAGGATGCTTATGGATTGGAACTGATTCCAGAGAGCCCCCTAGGCCATAGCCCCTGCCACAGCCTCCTTTGCCACTGGAGAGAAAGAGGTGACCTTCCACTCCATTGGAAGGATGACCCCTGAGGACGTTCGCCAGCGAGCATCTCTCTTCCTTGGCTGCTGGGAGGTGAGAACAGCCCACTTCAATCAGGGTCACTCTAGGTTAAGCCCAGGTGCTGGGGGGACACCGTGCCGGCACCAGTCTTTCCAGGGTGTGCTGAGAGGAGCACGGTGCCTGCTCTAGGCTGCCTTCAGCTAACACCATCCTGCTTTCAGTGGGACAAGGCCTCATGGAGAACCTGCCTTTTAAGTCTGGAATCCAGAGGTTAGGGCTTGGGCAGCAAAGGTCCAGAGGCATGACTCTGTAAAGGATGGGTGGAATAGCCTCTTGTTGGGGAGGCATGAATGGACATCACCCCAACTCTTTCTTTATACAGTGTCCCTGGGAGCCCCTTCCAGCCTGACCCCCTCACCATCTCAGGAGTGACGCCAAGGAAGTTACACAGATCTGCATCTGAGACCCAGGGCCCAATCTGGATGGGAAAGGCTGAGTTGTCTCTGATGCTCTCCTGACTCAGGCTCTGCAGGGAGATGGAATGGGTACCCTCCTCTTCCCCTTCCTCCCTGGTTTCTCCTCTTATGCCCTGACCAGGATTCCTCCCTGAGTCATTCCATCCCATACTGCCACTCAGCTCTGAACTTGAATGACTGGGTGATCCCAGTGCCTGCTGCCTGTGAGTGCCTCGGCTCCCTATGTCCCATTAGCTGGCAGAGAGCAGGGTCTGTCTTCCTCAGTTACCCTCCAGGTCACCCAGTGTCCCTTGCAGAGGCCTGGTGGTCAGTTCCATATATTGATGTAGCTAGTTCATCATGCTTAAATTTTTTTTTTTTTTTTTTAAATTTAGGGACTTAGGGAAAGAACACATGATGAAAAGATTCATGGTCCAGCAGCAGTCCCTGAAATGAAAGGACCGAGACAGATGGAGCAAGGTCAGGCTTTGGAAGTGGTTCCTGGGTTTGAGGCCAAGCCCTGCCAATTATTAATTCTCTAACCCTAGGCAAGTCACATTGCCTCAGTGAGCCTCAGTATCTTCAACCAAAGATGGAAAAAATAAAAATAAAGCTTGCTTCACTTGAACAGAGCAGATGCCATACCTGCTTCCCAGCTAGTGCTGAGGCTCTGGGCAGAAGGAAGGCACCGTGAGGCCCTCCTGAGAGAGTTAAAGACTCTGGGCATGCCTTTACATAAAGCATGTGCCAACTTTGCAAATAAGGCAACAGTTGGGGGACATGTGAGGCAGTGGATGGGAGTAGAAAGAAGCACACGTGACCTAGAAGTTTGTGATTAGGAACCACTTTGCAGAGCCTCGCTTATTTGATATATTAGATAGTCCTTTGAAATAAGCTGAGTGGCCTCATTTTGCAGATTCATTCGTCTAACCAGATAACATTGTAGGGCCAGGGTTTGTGGCTAAGTAAATGAAAATCCAGCACGATTGGCGGGAGCCATCCCACGACCTTGTCCCTCACAAGCCACCTGCCTGCCTGCCTGTGTTCCTGCCCCACTGCCCGAGGAGACCTTTTCAGAATTATTTTAGCTGTTCTAACAGTTCCTTTGCCTTTCCTTATACATTTTATAGTCAGCTTGTTAATATCTATTAAAAGAAAAAAAAGCTTGCTGAGATTTTGGTCAGAATTGCATTGAATCTACAGATTCAGATTCCTTTTTAAAATTTGTATTACTCTCCTGGGATAAATCCTGTCCCATCCCCATACAACCACATCCCCAGTGGGTGGGAGTGAGCTCCAGCAGGTCATCCAGCCTCGGCTCTGTGAGAAGAAAGGATACATTCCTACCCCTAGATGGGCCCCTGCTTCTCTGGGCTGACGCTTCCCTGGCTCTGCCAGCCTTTTTGTTGCTAACTCTGTAGAGGCTTGGATGACCCATCTCTAAGGCAGCTCCCTTCTCCCAGCCCCCTGTGTACTGCCCTGATAAGATGTGCCCTGGAAAGCCGGCCCATGGAAGAGGGCATGCAGGGGCGTTTGTGTCAGCTGCTTTTGTTTTTGTTTTTTTTTTAATTGCTCTGTCACTTCTTCCTGTTGGGAAGTTGACTGATATGTGCCATGGAGGTGTGTCTAGGGCAGGGTTTGTGGCTGATAGCCATTGCCACCCTGCCTTGTGGGATGGACTGTTGGGTTGGGGCTGACAGGTGGGAGG